ATTCTTTATTTTATTTTTCTTTATATTTTATCTTTATTTCTTTTATTTTTATTTTTTGTTTTTTATAATAATATAAAATAAAAAGTTAGTTTTCTTAATTAGTTATTTGGCAAATACTAGCTTTATATTATTTATTTTATTTTTATTTTTCTTGTAATAATATAAAATGAAAAGCTGATTTTCTTAATTAGTTATTTAGCAAATACTAGCTTTATATTATTTATTTTATTTTTATTTTTCTTGTAATAATATAAAATGAAAAACTGATTTTCTTAATTAGTTATTTGGCAAATACTAGCTTTATATTATTGGAATTTAAAAGTTACATATAGCTGTTAACAGTCTAATTATTAAGGCTTTTTTTTCTTTAGTTATATTTTATAAACATTTCTAAGTTTTAAAGTTTAATAATTCTTGTACAATGTAAACATTTTGTTATGTTCAATCTACATAGACTGAACAGTAAGATTAGTTTAAAAGCTGGTCTTATTTTGTACCTTATAGTGCTTAGAAGACTATTAAATTTAAATACTATTTTTAAATATTTATTTCTTATTTATTTCTTATTTTTATTTATTTTATTTTTTTTTAAATAAAAGATCTTCTATTCAGCATTCATGTATCTAAAATTACTACAGCTTGCTAGTTTTTAGTAAATTTTATTACAATACCTTGATTAATACTAATAGATGATAATAAACTAATAAGAGTAATAAAAAGTGATAAAGATTATAAAGAAAAAAATTGCCAAAGCCAATTTATAACAAAGTTAACAGAACTTCCTAAAAGTGCATTAGAAGTACTCTTTCTATGATGCCTAAGAAGTAAAGGTGCAAAGTCTGTTTATATTCCATTAAACAGAATGAAAACCAAAAAAGAACAACAATGATTACCTTTGCAACTAAAGAGAAAATAAATATAGCCTAAACTAAACTAATCAGATACAATAACTTTCGAGTTTACTGAGTAATAGAAGAAAAAAGAGAGACAAAAAAAAAGAAAGTTCAAAAAACAGAAAAAAAGAAAATATAAATAAATTTGATCAAGACACAAACTCAGAAAATTATAAAAGTATAAATATTCAAAAAAACAAGAAATATAAAAACAAAAAAAGATACAGAAAAGATGCAAATACAGAAAATTAATTACAAATGCAAAACTTTTTACAATGCATATTAATTAGACTTGAAAAACTCAAGACACAAAAATGCAATTAAAACCTTTACCAAAAGAGAATAGCTACAACACTCCTAAATTTTACTATAGTTGAACCAAAGAATAAGAGTATAAAAACAGAAGTCTTTTTAATAGAGAAAAAAAAAATTAAATACAAATTAAGAGAATATATTACATCTAAAAGAAATAAAAAAAAAAAGACTAAAGAATAAAATAAAATAAAGAAGAAACCAACTTTAATATATCAGTACATAATATCAATGACCTTAAAAAAAATAATTGAAAAAATTGAAACATTGTATGAATGGCTAATTGACAATAAAATAGATATAATTGGTCTAGCAAAAACAAACATTTCAAGCAAAAAAGGTTTTTTTATTACAAGAAATATGAAAAGATATAAGAGCTTTTGTATAAATTCAAATCCAAAAAAGAAAAAGAGCTCTGTGTTGGCATACTTATTAATGAACATTGAAAAAAATATCTTAAAAAAATAGATAGAACAAATGAAAAATAATTACAGCCAGCTTTGTATACAAACAACTAGAAATAGTAATCATAATGCTATATATGCCACTTAACAACAAAGAAGAATATAAAAAAATTCAAAAAACAGTAATAGAAAAATACATCAAATGATTACAAAAAACACAAATAATAATAATAAGAAATTTTAATAATAAACTTGATAAATCAAATAATCCAAAATAAAAGTTAAAAAACAAGATTTTCTTCTCAAGTAGCTAACAAAACAGAAGCTTTGTAATATAAGAGAGGGTTGGGTATTCTGATGCAGGGGGTTTTGTGATGCACCCACATTTTTTGGCAATTTCTCATAATACAGTGATCTGAATAGAATAATTTTAGTATCATTCAATCTATCTTATCAAGATGCATTGAATGATACAAAAATCACTTTATTTGGATCATTAGAGTGCAAAAAATGAGAGAAAGTTGTGCAAGTATTATGCTATTTCTTTAATTTTAAATAAATTTTATTATATATTTTCTTATTTGAATAACAATGCAAACTAAAAAATATATTACATAGTGATGTTTTAATGAGAATCAATAACCTTCAGATAGAAAAAACATTATAAAAAAAAGTCAGAACTCTTTAAAATAAAAATATTAAAATATGAAAATATTAAGTTTTTTGATTTAATAATTAACATCTGAGAACTATATATTCATATGAACTTGTGTTTAATAAAGAGAACATTAATAAAACAGAACTCTGGCATATCACTATAAAATTATATTCGAATTAAACTGCTAGTTTGTGATTGTTTTTTTTTTGTTTTCTATTATAAGCAATTTTATTCTTTAATAAATAAATCACCTTTGTGCAAATTTGCTAATTTCATAATAGACAATTTTTTCTCCTTTTTGTTATTAGACAACTAATAGGTCTAAGCAATGCTATTTCTAGAAATAGCTAGTTATAGTGATATTACCTTTATGTAAGTTTACTATTTTGTAATAACCAAATTTTTTATTAAACAATTAATAGGTCTAAATAGCACTATTTTGTAAACAGCTATTGTAAACAAAGATATCATAAATCTAATTACATTGTAAATAATCTTGCAATTGTTATCATGATTCAACAAAAAAATTATAACTACATATGAAAACAATCACAATCATGATTATGATCACAAGGATAAATAATTATATTTATATGTTATCATTATTGTGTACAAATAAAGCAATTATAATTATAATCATGATCATAACTACAAACAAACAGAGTTATAATTGTGTGAAAAATATAAATTGTTCTAAGTTTTGCAAATAAAAAAAAACAAAAACATAAATAAAAATAAAAAACTAAAGATTAAAAATTTAAAAAAAAAGACAAAATGTGCTTCAAAGTCACATTCAAGTCTAAAATTATCTAAGCCTAAACTCGTAATCAAACCTACTATAACTAAATCAAATCCTTAATTAAACTAAACTGCATGTATAAAAGCTATTGAGTTTACTCTTAAAGCACTTTCTAGTCCTAAATAACCTAGCATTCGAGTAATTGCATCAAAATTTGGAATTCTGTCAACAACTTTAAGGCATGCAGTTAAGAATAATAGCTCATCTAACTATCATAGCCCTGCAACAATCTTAAGCACTCATGAAGAACAACAATTAGTTGGTTATTATAAAAATATGCAAAAGTTAGGGTTTGGTCTTACAAGGTCAGGTGTTAATTATTGTATAATAAATATTGTAAAAAGTAACAACTGTAATCACTTTTTTAAAAATAATGGACCTGGTAAGGCCTGGTAGAAATGTTTTATAAGAGATCATCCTGATTTGTCTTTTCATATGCCTTAAGCCTTGTCAGAGGCATGTGTACAGAGAGCCAATCCAATTATGTTAAAGACTATTTTGATAAACTCTATAAAATAATTGAACAATATTCACTTATCACTGACCAAATTTGAAATATAAATGAAACTAGTTTTGTTATATCTCCAAAGATACAGAAAGTTATCACAACAAAAGACTCTCGCCAAATAAATAAAGTTTTACATAGAAACTCTCATGAACATATCTCCATTGTTCTGACAATTTCAGCTGCTAGTGGCTACATACCACTCTTAATTATTTACAAAAACATTCACACAATTCCTATTTTATTAGATAGTGTTCTGGCTGGCATCATTATAGGCTTTACTGACTCAGAGTATATGAAAGAAGACCTGTTTCAAATATATATTGAACACTTTATTAGTTCTATTTCTTTTTGATACCCAGTTCTTCTAACTCTTGATGGCCACAAGAGCCATATAAATTACACAAGTGTTAATTTTTGCTATGAAAATAGAATTCTTCTATACACTCTTTCTTCACATATGACCCATATCCTTTAGCTGTCCAAACTTCTATTTTTTAAACTAAAAACTAAATACAGCAAGGCCTGCAATAAGCTTCATAGTGAGAGTGGTGAATTAGTAATCAAACACATGTTTGCTAAAATGTTTGGTCCAGCATATATAAAAACTTATACACTTAACATGATTATTAATGCTTATAAAGCTACAGGAATTTGGTCTTTTAATCCTAACACTATTAATCCAGATTGTCTTGCTTCCTCTATATATACAGAATGAATTGATGTTTTACCTTCATCCCAACCAACTGATCAAGAACTTCTTTCAAATACCATATCATCATCTTCTTAACAAAATTCCTCTATATTGTCTAAAGCTATCTATTATTTTTCTATATCATCTTAGGCTGTCTATTATTTCTTTATATTGTCTTAAGTTATTCATTATTCCTCTGTATCATCTTAAGCTGTTCATTATTTCTTTATTTCATCTTTTCAACACAGTTATTCTTTTACTCAAGCTAGTACTACAATAGAAATGAACTTTTAAAAACAGAAATAGCTTCTTTAAAGAATGAAAATAAAATATTAAAAGAGGAACTTGAAACATTTAAAAATCCCAGTACCTGCTCACTAAAACTAGCTCTTAAGTATCCTATTTCCTAAGAATTGCAAGCAACTGAATCAGATCCTCAACAAGCAAAAAAAAGAAAAACTCTTCTCTTTGCTTAACTTCTTATTAATGAGGAATCTATACAAGCATTAAAAGAAATGAACAAGTTAGCAAAGAACAAAATGAAAAGCACAAAATGAAGAAAAGAAGCAGCAGCCCAAAAATGAGCTGATAAGGAAGTAAAAAAAAGTACAAAAAAAAGCTGAAATAGAATGAAAAAAGAAAGGATGTTTGCATAAAAAGAGTAAAAAGAATATAATTAATATTATCGTTAATCAAAGTTAATTTTTGATCATGTGGTCATATATATCATTCAGATTTAAGTTACTTTTTTGATGTAGTTTATAGTGTATTTATATAAAGATATCAAGAATATAATTTATATAGTATACTGTAGTATATAGATCTATTAATATATGCAGTACATCAGAATGCCTCCTGTTAAGAAAAAATATAACAGTTTTTTGATAGTTTTTAGAAGGTCAAAAATCTTTTTTTTTATAGTAAAGCTTTTTTTTTGTTTTACTGATAGGTAGTAAATTGTGTTTTTAGTTTATTTTAATAAATTTTAAGAACAACTACGTTTTTTCTAAGAATTTTTACTATTAGCACTCTTAGATGTGCCAGAATATCTGACCCTTCTTTATATAAAACAGTAAATTCAGAGTTCAAAAAACTCTTCTAGTTAAGTAGAGATTTGGGTTTAAGAATTGACCAAATATAGATAATAAAAGACTTGTTATATGAACTCTTTGATGCAAAAATACAAAAAATAGATATATACACAAACAGTAATCATAATGTAATGCTAGCAAAAATATATTTAAAACACTTAATAGCTATATAGAGTCTAGCAAAATTAAAAAAATTTGGTCAACAAAAAACAATTTATCTATATAACAAAGCAACAAAAAAAGACTAAAAAAACTACAAAACAGAGCTTGACCAACAACTAAAAAAAAAATTAATATACAAGATCTAAAAAATATATCATATAAGTTAAATAATACAAATATACTAACAAAATAGAAAATAAATTAGATAAGTATTAGAATACTATCTGTAATAGCAAAGAATCAGTTGCAAAAAAATTACTTTTTAAAAAAAAAGTACTCAACACAGTAGAAAATAAGAAAAAACAAACAAAAAAAGCAAAGCTTACCAAAGTACTAACACAGTTAAGAAGATGAATTAGAATTGATAAAATAAACATTAGATTTGATTTTTCTAAATAATAATATACAAAAACTTAATAAAAAAAATATAATACATTAATCAGCACCAAAAAATATATATTGAACTAGCATTCAAATATTGAACTAAAGAACTAATAGAAAATCTCAAAGATTGGTAAAAAATATTCTACACAAAAGATTAAGTAAAATTGAGACCTTAAAAAGAAAAAAAATTGAAAAAAGCATAAAAAATGATGTTAAATGATTAATAGCAAATAGGAAAAAATACTTACAAGTTTGTTTGATAGACCAAGTAGAAAAATTTAAATAAATAGACTTATAGAAGGTACAAATAGCTGTAGAAAATTAATTGTAGAACTACTGAAAGTACTTGACAAAACAAAAAAATATTTTTAAAACTATTTAAGACTTTGAAATTTCAAAAAAGAAAGTTTAAATAGTAAATGAAAAAATATTTATAAACCCAAAACATCAATACAGTCAAATTGGTACAAAGACATAAGCCAAGATATTACAGCAAATGAATAGTCGGAAATGCTAACAGGCTTAAAAAAAAATACAGCTTTAGAGATTACAAGAATTACTTACAGGCTTATACAAATAGCAAGATTATATATACAAAAAATATTTATAATTTTTGTGAAAATATATATCAAAACAGGTGTCATACCAAAAAAAATAAAACATATTACAAATATATCCTATACTAAAAGAAACAGAATAACAATATAATTTAAATAATCACTCTTCCTAACAATCACTCTTCCTAACAATCATTTAAACCAAACTAGCATCAAAACAGTTTGAAAAGTTATGCTTTTAAGATAATGATATTTTTTATTCTGTTTAGATATATAAAGCAGATTGTTGCTAACAAACTAAAAGTACATGAAAAAACCAAAGTGTAGAAGATTCTTCTAATAGTTTGTGTTGAGGTCAAGCCTTGTCTGTTAGTAAACTCTCTAACATATTTAGTATTCAAACCAGAAGGACATTTTGGAAACAATAAAGAAAAACTCTGGTTAAAGATTATTAAAAGCTTGAAAACAAATGAACAACTAAAAACATGCTTTTTGGTTTAGCTTTTTGCATATCACATTTGTTGACCTTCTTTATCTATTTTGTTTTTCTTACTCAAAAGTAGAGAAATTGGCTCTCTTTTACAAAAGATCAGCATTGTTTATTACTTTCTTTTTCAGACAGTTATGTGTTGTGACATGATGTAATAGAAATACAACAATCACATATACAGCCTAACATATAGTGTAATAAAGAAATAAAGAAGGATTTAAATTGGAAAATTATAGCAAATTAGAGATATATAGTAATTCCTATAATCATGTATATAAAATTTTTACCTCTTTAGCATAAATTAAAGTATAGTTAGATTTTTAGTACAGATTTAAAGTGCTAGTATCCTAAATGGTCATGAATAAGGTGTGCTCCCTAGCACTTTTTTTTTTTCTGTATCTTTTTTTAGTTTAGTTTAGTTTAGTGTTTTTTTTTTTTCTTCTTTTACTTTTCTATGAGAAAGTATAATCAGATTAGTAATACTCTATTGTAAGACAATGGTCAAATGAGCTCTCCAGATCTCCTTTTTTTTTTAGAATTTAGGCAACTAATGTGGCAGATCACTTGTAAGTGCTCATAGAAGTAATTGCAGAATGTCAACTCAGTATATTAAGTCTAAAAATGTTTGTTAGTATATAAATATGAATCTTAATAAAGAGTATTAGCAAGACTGCCAAAGTAAAAAAATATATATATATATAACTTAAATAATATTAGACATATTACTCTGCTAGAGACTCTAAGAAAATGCACAACAAAGCTTCTAACAAACAGATTAACACAAGTGTTTACTAGAAAAAAATACTTAAAGGTTTTAATTTTATAGATTTTTTAAAAAACTTAACAGAAAAACCAGTACATATTATCAATACACTAATAGAAGATGTCAAAAACAATAACAAAAAACTATGACTAGTTTTTTTTTTTTTTTTTTTTTTTATTAAAGTGACCTCTTTGGTCTTTTAACTTTTATTAAGCACTTATTAGTATTGTGGTTTAATAAACCACTACAGGAGAGTATACAATTGGCTACACATGTAACTTTTCTATATTACCTATTTAAGAAGTCTGCCTAAAGGTTCTCTACCAATTGCTGTATCTAACACTCCTGCTTGGATGTTTCACTTTAAATCCTCTGAACCTGTAACCTGTGTTAATATTACTGAGTTATTCTAGATGCCCAGATCATCATCTTAATCTTAGAACTAATTTATCCTCAAGACAAACTCTCCAGAGCCTTCTGTACCTATTTTTATAGCTGACCTAGGTATTGTTATAGCAGAACCAACACTTATGGTTAAAGCTGACCATTAAACTACTATGCTCTTGTAGAGTTTACACAAACCCCAACATCTACTTCACAGCATATCTGAAATACTTTAGTATACCCTTGCCAGTTCACCAAACTCCCAATTCAGATAGTCCAATAGGACTTATGACCAGTCCATTGGTATATCAGATCAGCCCAATATCCTTTTCCTCTGACTCAATCTAGCAGCCTGGTTGGTGGTACCCCCCTCTAGAGGTTTTTGCCTATCTGGCTACTTCGACCTTAGTATCCATTTTATAAGGCTAGCCTTTACAGTAAAGCCATTGAAAATCTGGCTACCTCTTTACTTAGGTCTTCCCAAATGAACTTCTTGTTACCCAATTTCAATGGATTTACATGGCTACAAGGACTTATCTAGTGTTTGTATTATCTAATTGCCAATTTGCATTCCTTTATGTAATCACAACCTTGTCCCAAAGGACAATGTTATGTGATCTGTTACACAAATGTTCTATAACTTACCAGTCATACTAGTGTGATTGCCATTACAGATATCTTAACCTAATCATTAATAACAATTGCCATAATACAAATATTATATAGGTAATTATCCAAATTTTCAACATTGATAGGATTTGAACACCTAACTTACCACTTAAAGGGTTGACAACCTGACTACTTCACTAGGTCACCATACCCTTTCTATGGCTGGTTTTTCAAAATATAAAAAAGATATTTAATTCAGTATCTTTACAAGCACTAGATTTGATAATAAAAAGACTTAAAATGCTAAAAGAATTATAAATTTCATATTGAATTTATTTGTAAACAATCTAAAATTATTATGCATTGGAAACTACAGAAATATAGAAAATAAAAGATGGTATTGAACAAGATAAAGTGTTATTACTATTAGTATAAAGAATATTTTATGACTCACTACTTAAAAGAATTCAAGAAAACTCAAATCTTGAATATATAACTAAAGTAGATATTTTATATAACTATAATCTTAACTACTAAAAGAAAATAAAATGAAAGCAAGCAGTAGTTGTCTTTGCTAATAACACAACTTAAATTGGCAAGAACAAAAAACAAATAAAACAGACAATTTAAATAGCAGAAGAGTTTTTTAAAATTAATAATATTCAGATAAATAGAAAGAAATCAAGACTAGTAATTATGAATATAAAAAAAAAATAGAAAATAGAAAGATACAAATAGGCAATGAATGAATACAAAAAGAAAATATAAACAAAATAACAAAATTCTTGAAAATATGACTTAACAATAAGCTAAAAGAGTCTTTAATCAAAACAAAAGCTTAAAAAGTTGTATATATAATAATAGGAAGCCTTGAAACTAAAAAAATGACAATAATACAAATAGCTTATATTAATAATATATGCATAATGCCTAAGCTTATCTACTTGCTACAGGTAACAAAATTATTTAAAGCAGTAATAAAAGCAATACAAAAGCCAATTTTAAGAGTAACAAAACAAACTTAAAATTGCAAGTACAATAAGCAATAGTATTATACTATATAGAAATCTTGAAAATTGCAATTCTCTTTGGCATCAATTATTAATAAAGCAAATTACAAGTTTATATATACAAGTTAATACTATAAGT